GCAAGCGAGTCTTTTTCTTTTCAGGAAAGGCGTCTTGCGATCTTTGTCGGAAAGACTGCAGCTGGTTGAGCGTGTTGCGTTTGAGCGAGGTGATGACCGTTTCGTTAATGGTCTGCACGCCAACTACCTAGGCGTAAATTTACCTCTGAAAGCGATCCGATCTGGTGCTGAGGCTTTTGTCCACTACGATCGCATTATGCTTGCGGTGGGTTATTGTTTGCGATTCTCAGACTTATAGGAAGGGTGTTGCAATGGGCAGAAAATTCGAATTCGACGGGGCTCGAACTTTCACTCATGATCTCACGATTCGGTACTTATTTACCGTACTATCAACTCACCACTTCCTTCCTCACAGATTTTCTTGACAGTTTTTGGTTGTTAACTGCTGTTTTTGCCGCAGTTCGCCTTGCGGAAGTTTTGCGAGAACGCTGAGTTGTGAAAAAAGTTGTGCCCCTGACGGGACCGAGATGACACCAGATGCGGGTTCGAGTCCCGTCTGGGCGAAAGTTTTGTTCACTGCTCAGCATTTCTGTGAAACTTTATTGACAGCGTTGTATGACAGTATTTATCCTAGTTTATCAGCGCTTAGTGTAATCGGCTGATTAGCTGGTTCAAAGCAGAAGCAGCAGTTGTGCTTGTCAAATTTCGATTCAACATAGTGCTTCTCTCCTGAAGTCGGTCTCTGTGTGGTCCCCATCTAAGACTCTTGGCCTTCTCAAGTTTGCTCGTGAAAAACCTTGCGTGGAGACTATCTCCACGACTCATCGAATAAGAAAACCACAAAATCCGATTCCCTCAATGAACTTCCACCGAAGGATGAACACAAACATAAGTAGAAAAGCACTCATAGTACTGTAATGTTGGGGTTTTTGATAGATGCAGAATATTTTGGTCTGAGAGACTCTTCGACTTTAGGCAACACCTTCTTAATTCAGTGCACATTTATGCCTTGCGGCGGCCTAGGGGCACTCAAGATTCACTACGTCCAAATGGCCAGCTTATGTACAAGTCAGTTTCATACTTCCGGACATGTCTTACCAATTCACCGACCCCGTAGGAATGAGACGTTTGGTTAACCCTAATCGCGTACGATCATGGGCTCACTCTCGGACTGAGCGCGTATTAGGAGACGGAAGATTTGCTGATTGATGTTTTAGCACAGAAGTCAAGCTCTGCAAACGGTAGCTGTGGAAGCTGGGGAAGTATATCTATCCAACTTGAAATTAACACAGAATGTGTCTTAAAAGAAATGTGGGTCTGTCCATCTTCACTTGGGCGATCACTGATAACGATCATTTGCCCAAACGGATTACGTTTTTTTAATTCAGCACACTTTAAGGTCTATCTCCTCTATTTTGGTTTTGTATGAGGACTATACTGAAATGTTAGCTCTTAAATTTAAACGGTCGGCAGTTCTGGGGAATAAAAAAAAGTCATTCGTTGTGGTTTTGATTTTCTTCGTAGGCCGAACGTTTTGCCATCAACTGAGCATACTTGTGCGAGGAATTAAATTTCCTGTGTCGTCTTCGTCATATCATTGTGTTCCTTTAGATCAACGAAAAACAAGACTACACTCTGATGAAATACGTCACCGTGTTTTACATGCTTCTCCATGCAGCTGTGGCTACCCACACAAGGTATGGGAAAGTGTTCCACATGCTCTCTGCATGCCTTAGAATTTTTTTTAGAATTTTTAATCGTTTCAGAAAGGAATTGAAAATTTTAATTTGTTTGTTTAGGGCTAAATTGAAATACCCTCAACAGGAGCAAACCGCTTTACAAAGACGACGAGAGTCACAAGAAACTCTTGCAACAGTTCAATGCGCTCTTTTGGGGAGGTATTCTCCAACCGCTCTACTTTGTGATGTGCTGCCTCTTCTTCTGCAAATTGTACAGCCACCAATTAAAACGGTACTCATTTTATTCCAATAAATTCGTACTGGGTGGAACCTACAACTTTTTTTTGGGATACTGCTTGGGTCGTTTACATTCTATATATTACTGACTGTAATTTTGTCTGTCTATTTGTATGTTGGTCTCTCTGTCAGGAAATTCTGCAGCAATAGAGAAATCACCTCACAGTCCAATGTGGATTGAGGATAATGCTAGTAGTGAGCGGGGTGTGTATCGAACTGGTCGTAGCTTTGATAATATCGGTTGGCCCCTTTATATAGTCAAGGAAGCGTGTCATGCCTGCGACACCAAAGTTGTTCCACTTGGAATTAGTAAAGAAATCGTCGAAGCTCCAGCATAATTTCTTTGTGGAAAATGAAAAAATTACGTCAGTCTGTCCATCAATGCAGTTCTCCTAAGCCTACTATGGCTTTCCTGGGTACTTGATCACCTTTTGAAGCCACAAATTTTGATAGGTGACAGATTTTTTCTCCATTTATCTCTGAATATTGTTTTTTAGGCCGGAGTCACTTCGAAGAGAAATTTAAGTTTTGTTTGGGCCTTATGCTTATTTTAGAGGCATTATAGCGTACAGAGAGACTAATTCACGGTACTATTTGCTTACATTGCAGATGAATCAACAGTTGTACAGCACTCAAGAATTGAAAGAGATCGACAACATTGTAACTGTAATGGCAGACTACCAT